GGGATCTGAGGATGAGAGCTCTATCTCAGTTACTTCTGCATCCTTTTGGACTTAGTAGGTGCTCAGTTAATATTTTTTTAATTGATGGCCCCCGCCCCCCCATGGAGAACAATAACCAGTGGTGCGTGTGCCTCCTAGACCCTGCTAGAGAAGGCATCTTGCAAGAGTTGCTGGGAGGCAGGCTACAGTACAGGACAAAGACAGAGGGGCCCTCACCCTCTTCTCTCCTTTTTTCCCCTACTCAGGTCACTCTAGAAAGTTCTCTGGGCCAAAGGAGCTAATGTGAACAAATGTCCTGGGGCTGAGTGAGTGAGAGAGGCAAATCTGACAAAGGGAAGGCTCTGATTTGGGCTCACCATCATTTGGAGTCGTCCATGATCAACAACTGGGAAGTAATTCTGAGGGAAGCTTGTACTATCTCCCAACTTGCCTCTTTTCTTTCTATTCCTTACTATCTGTATCTGTTTGTGCTCTTTAAGCCATCCACGTTGGAGAGCCTCGGATCAGATTCCATGTCCATGCGTCCTCACGTGGACATCTTTGCTGCATTAGTCTGCATGAATGAAATGGGTCACGTAGGGTGCACTGGCCTGGGGGTTCAGGAGACCATGGTCTGGTTCTGGCTGTGCTAACTGCCTGAGTGCCGTTGCCTGTGGCTTCTTCTCTCTGGGGCTCCCCCAGCTGGTCAATGTGGGTGTTGGTGGCTTTGTCCTCTAAAAGCCCTTACGGTCTCGTTCCACTTACTGGGCATTTTCCCAGGAGCAGGCTTCAGGGACAGAGAAATGAATCAAAAGGCCCTGGCCCTTGAGGAGCGCAGTGGCTCGTGTGAGATCTGCACAGTTAAGCCGATGATGACCATATGACCGAGGAAGTGCTCTGATGGCGACCAGGCTTTGTAGGAAGCCAGAAGAGAAAGACCTTCTTGAGAGAAAGCTGGGAGGAGGAAATGATGTTGGAGATAAGGTCTAAATGAAGAGGAGGCTGTGGGGCCCAGAAGAACCACCGGAAGAGCTTACAAGCTAGCTTGCTGGGGTTGGAGGGCGGGAGAGAAGGCAAGGGCAGTCACAGGAAGAGGGATTTCAGTTCAGCAGAAGGGAGAACTTTCTACCAGCAAGGGCTATCTCACACACCAAAGAGAGAGGAAGTCTAGCGCTCCTTGTCAGTGGATAGAAATGCACACCAGAGCTTGGAGGGCTGCGGCCAGAGGTCTCCACCATCCCTGTCCTGTCTGGCGAGCCAGCCTCCATCTTAGTTTCCATCATTCCGTTTCGGAGTGATGAACTGCACTGATGGCGGAGCTGGTCACAGGCATCCCCTGGTCCAGGAACAATGCAGATGGGGGTGCTGATAAGGTCTGGGGCCCCACTCTGGCCTCTGCCCCTCGGTTTGTCTCTCCTGGACCCTCTCTCCAAAGCGGGCCTCCCTACAGCTACTGGCCCCCACCCCGCTGGCTCAAATTTTGTATTGCGCCAGCCATGTTTGAAAAGCAGATGACAGCTACATGCCCTTTCCTGCCAAATGACACGCACTCAAAGATGCCCCAAACGCTGCATCCAATTTATGGGCTTCACAGACCTCCTGACCCCACACTCGAATGCCAGGCCCAGAACCTCTGCTCCGACCAGTCCCATTGGCTGCTCTGGCCCCCAGTCCTTGGGCTGTTCCTTTTTGTTGCTGCTGTTACTCTAGGATTCCAGGCTGTGGGGACACTGGTTGGCCCTGCCCTCAAAGAGCTCCTGGCCTCATGGGGGTGGGAGAAAGCACACAGAGGGAATATACACTAAATGAGGCATAGACGGAGACCCCCAGGCTGGGAGCCCAGATAAGTTCCCTATTGGGAGTACTGGGGAAGGCTTTTTTTGGGGAAAGGGAGCTGGCCATTCTGGACCTGACAACATATTGGGGAGAGGACATTGTAGGAAGCTAGGACAACTGGAGCAAGGGGGTGTATGACAGGGCGTGAGCGGTTTGGCTGGAGCACAGCAGGTGTGAAGCCCCATGGAAGAAGCTGGAAAGGTGGGCTGGGCACAGGCCTTGATGGACAGGCCATGGAATGTGTTCGGGAGAAAACCGGGCCCCACTGAGTGTTTCTGGTAGAGGAGAGGCAGGATCTAGGTCTTTTTAGAAAGGATGCCCTGGATGTACATAGAGGCTTGATCGGAGGAGGCAGACAGATCAGCTCAGCTGTCCCAGTACACCTGACCCAGGTACGGATGAGGCCAGGAGCTGAACTAGGTCAGCATTGATGGGGAGGGAGGAGGGCCTGAAATGAGAGATCTCCCCAATGGACATGCAGAGCCGGGCATGGGCTTTTAGCTGTCCCCTTCCCTCTGCCCTGATTCTACAGATGGATGTGCCACAGGAGAGGCACAGGCCCGGGGCGGTTCTCCAGGAAGTCATTTTAGGGAGGTGTGCTGCAAGGCTATCGGCCATCAGGAAAGGGACAGGTTGGGGTGGCCCAGGGACTTGGGCCTGTGAGGGGGCAAGTTCAGTCTTGCAGTGGCTGAGGTGAGGTTCTAGCTAGACTTGGTGACCTGGTGGGAAGCCACTGCAGTGGTTGGAACCATTGGTGGGGCCTGTGGAGTGTGCCAGGCCTCGGTTCAGTAGGTGTGGGGTGGGGCCCCAGTTTCTAACAAGCTTCCAGCGGGTGTAGCGGTCAGACTTTCTCCAAACAAGTGGGGAGAGTGACATAGGTCCAGATCAGGATTGCTGAGCAGAGCAAGGAATTGTGGCAAAAGCCCTTGCCGAGCAGGGAAGGTGGCCCTCTGCCCACTTTGGGCTCAGGGTCTGTCTGGAGGGCTCCCCCAGCCAGCTAATGAACTGTCTCACCCTTCTGATCTGCACGGACGGATGCTGCTTCCTTGGGAAGCCTGTGGGGGCTGCCCTGCCCCATTTCCAACTGGGCTAAGTTTATTCACAGCCTGCTCTCACTCCGCTATCAGCCTGCACATTTCCTTCTCGGAACTTTCAAGTTTCCTATTAGGTATTGATTTGCATGGCCCCACTAGAATGTCAGCTACAGTCTGTGTCTGTTTTTATTCACTGAAGTCTGGGGAGTGCCCAACAAACATGTGGAAACATGTACAGTCCAGAGTTCGATGAGGGACATTTTTTGTCGAGGCAGCTGCTAGCATTTCCCCAAGAAAGCGGGGAGGGCAAAGCTGAGGGCACTTTGGCCCTCGGTGCTCCTCAGCGAGGTCTGCCCGCCTCAGCCTTCCAAGTGGAGACCCTCCTGGCAGCTCTGAAAGTGGAGTTCTTCTGTTTCAGGCCCTGGCTTCCTCCCTCCCTCTCAACCCCTTAGGAAATCAGGCAGCGAGCTCTGACTCCTTTCCAGATGCCTCCACTAAGGCTTCATTTCTATTCCCACAGCTGCATCAGTGCTCACTTTTGTCACTTCCTATCTGGTCTCCCAGGCTCCACACAGAGTGGCCAGAATCAGTCTTTTGAGTTTTGTCCTCCGTTGCTTAAACTGTCAATGGTTTCCCCTGACTATAGAATAAAGTTCAGCCCCCTTGGCATCTGCAGCCCTGCCCACCTCTTCAGCCTGACCTCCCACGGCTCCAGGCCCCCCACCCCAAGCCAGGCTGGTCACTTCTGTACTTCACTGAAACTGAGAAAGACAACACACTGCCAGCGAAACTATGACACGCCATTGACTGTGAACTTGACCTTTTAGCCACCTAGGAGCCTGCACCTAATGACTCTTTATACATCCTTCAAGGTCCAACCCCATGGTGTCACCTCCTCCGCGGAGGCCTTTTTGATGGTTTTGGCTGGAAGCCATGTCTCCTTCCTCTGAACTTACACCACTTTGTGTCAAGTGTATGCATCATTTCCTGCTTGGTATCACAGGGGCTTGGGAACATATTTTAAGTCCTCTATTCTAAGTGCCTTAAGGACAGAGATCATGTCTTATTTCTGGTTATATTCCCACTGTACCATCAACTTAACAGTCTCCCTGTAGGCGGGGGTCATGGTCATATCACACAAACCAAATAGTGTGTCCAATGTCTGTACTTGATCCATCTACCCAGGAGCCTCCCCATCCTTGGCCAAAGGCAGAGAAGACAGCTGACGTCTTTAAAATTACCTGCCCATTAGCTTAAGGAGAGACCAGGTTCTCCAAGCAGAACATCACCAGGAAATAGAGGACGCCAAATCATTATTTGTGCTAGGCCTTCTGGAAATTGGCTGGAAGGATTCTGTGAATGTGAAGGGTTCTCCAAGGGAAGTTGCCCTCTCTGCACCAGCCCATGGAGTCTCTGCCCTAAGTTCAAGCAGATAAAGGAGGCTCTCTTCTGCCCCACCTTTCCAATGGCTCACTCTCAAGCTGCCAGATGTCCTACGTTAGGAGAGGAGCTAAACAGCAGAAATAGTATGCCACTGGGACAGCCCACCACTGTGCCACTGAGGACAATGGGACTCTGTTGGTAAAGAGAAACGTGTCCAAGACAGAATGCTTTATAAAAAACAATGCAGGCAGGCACTGCAGGTGGGCCTGAGGGAGAACTTCGCAGCATGTAAGGAGGGAAGCAACCAGGGATTAGGGTGGGAGCTACTGTTGTTTAAGCTTTTTAAAAGTGTTCGCTCTAAATTCTGTCTGTTTGAAATGTACACTTGAAGTCTCACCATGTGTTTAGAACTTCTGCTTTTCTTCTAGGATATTTTTAATATGTGGCTCCTTGAACAGTCTGTGGCTTCTACTTTAGTGCTGGTTTGCATGGAAATAAATCGAATTCCCCACCCTCAATTAGCAAAGGGGTTGTTTCTCCTCTACAGCTTTCTCGATGACATACACGGGCACTGGGATGATAAGGAACCCAGGGGAGAGGGGGGATGGTAGAAAGAGAACACAAAACATGGGTTCGAAGCTGCCTGGTGTAAGTCCAAATCCGATCCTACAAAGAGAAATGTCTGCTGTTTTCTCCCCCTTTGTGGTCACAGAAGGGTTGGTTGTGTCCCCATCTAACTGGCAGGAAGGACCCAAGCTCAGAAGAAACTCACTTGAAGGCTAGTTTATTGGTCCACAGAGAGCCCTCGGTGGGGAAACACGGTGAGAGGGCCCAGTCTCGGGGGCCTCACTCGACCCTCCGCAGGTGGTGGAAGCTCTGCACAGTTCTTTCCACGGCATCGTCCATGGTGACCAATGGCTGGTAGCCCATGAGCTTTTTGGCTTTCTCGCAGCTGTAGTAGTGAAACGTGCCAGCCAGTGCGACCCGCATCGGTGTGAAAGTGGGCTGCAGCTGGATGACAGGGCTGATCACCATCACCAGCAAGGACAGCAGGAGGGCCAGGTAGTAGGCCACCCAGTAGGGGATGTGGTACTTGGGGGCCTCGTAATTGAGGCCTGTCAGGATGCGGGACATGAACATCCAGAAAGGGATGGGTTCGTCATTGGTGATGTGGAATGCCTGGAGAGAGAACAACAAGTTAGAGACCGCTCCCCCGCTGGAGGGACGAGCAGGACACGCTTGCAACTCGGAGCTCAGCCACAGCTGCTGGCTCAGCCCAGGATCAATGTTTTGGGAAACCAGTGGTCACTCCCTGCCCGCCTGCCCCAGCCCCTTCGCAGGGCAGCTCAAAAGTGAGGCAGATATTAAGCCCATGCAGATCGCAGCATTTCTGTGGTCCTCTAATCCACAAGTGTCAGCCACTGGTAGAGACCATCGTTTGACTTGCAGCGATGGGCAGCTTTAAGGATAGAGAGGGAAGGTAATGCAAGTTGTATCTGTATGCCAGGGTTTTATGCAAAGCTTAGATTGCACTCTGGAAGGTACATTTGTTAGTTTAATTTAGTAATTGTCTTAATCATGGTAAAACTCATCATCTTCAGATGCAGTGAACGGGTCATATTACATTTCTCAAACGTGCTGTGTTTGGTCTAAACCAGAAGCCATACCCACCCTAAGAGTTGAATGAGTGGGAACATGGCAGAGGTCCAGGAGAAAAAATTGAGGCCCAAACAGGGAGGGATTCCAAAGGCAGGAGTGAAAAACAAGGAAGACGGGGGGCCTCGGGGTGGGAGGAAAGGGCGAGGGGCCCCCACGTTCTCTCCCATCTCTGCCTGAGTGCTCACCTCCCCCACATGCCCACCCTGCCCACTGGCTGCCAAAGGCCAGGAGATTCAGATACATCTGCCCCTCTGGACGGGTGAGAGGTGTGAGCATGGCAGGGCGAGGGGAGAAAAAAGAGACTTCTGGAATGAGTGGGAGAAAGGGTAAGTAGCAAGCACCCCGCCCAACGTATGAGGGGCCCTGTCTGGAGTAGCCATGTCCATGGCGGGCAGCCAGGTCACGTTCACGGAGAACTAGGTCCTGAATCTGTTCAATCCCAGCTTCTTCCTCCGGATTTTGGCTGCCCTGTGTGATGTGGCATTGCCATGATACCACACTCCCCGCCAGAGGGACTCAACTTCGGCCCAATGGGATCCTAAAGCAGGTCCACCAGAACTCAGGCCTGCGGAGGCAATGTGCCAGTGAATCCAATCACAGGGAGGGGAAATTTGAAGACAGGCAAACGTGCAGGGGCAGGATGTGGCGAGCCAGCCGCTGCCGAGCCCAGAGAAGCAGGTGCCTTACCTTCCCACCCAAGGCCATGACTTGAGAGAGTTGCTCTGCAGCCAGGATGTGTCCGTGGACCACGTTCTCCACGAAGGTGAAGTCCACCAAGTTCTCTCCATTTCTGTGGGCATACAGGAGTAGTTGCACTGGGCTGGAAGTGCTCAGCTGCACGCCCAGCGGAGCCCCTGCATCTGGACTCAGGGCTGCTCCCAAGTGTCAGCGTTTGAAAGACTGCCACCTGCACAATGACTGCTAGCTGCTTTGGCAATGCCAACCCCAGCACACCTGGACATCAGTAACAGCTGAAGATGTGCAGGGGGCCAGGGCTTCTGGGGTGCTCAGGGCCAGTGGGATAGGGCAACCAATGGGTCTGAAAGCCCAGTGCTCTGCCTGTCCCATTCTGGCGTGGCCAACACTGGTGTTGTCTGCTCTGATCTCCAATTTGGCCAGCAGCTCTTAACTCCTTCCAGGACATTCTGAACTACTGCCTTGCTCTGACCTCACATGGTTCTACCATCTCTGTATAATTCCTGAAAGCAATAAGACCGGGTAGGCGAGCGGGAGGCAGAGAGACAGGGCGGCAAGACACAGGGAGAAAAGGGGTAAAGAGAAGGAGAAAAGGGAAGAACAGAAGGAAGGCAAAGCAAATGTACTGGGAAGACAGCCACACTGTCACCACCTACAGATGCCCCTCGACCTGCACTTTCCTCCAGGAGGAATGTGCACGCCTCCATCTACCTTCATAGATGCAAGGAGAGACGAGGGCCCGGCCCTTGACCTTGGACCAGTCTTTCCCCTCTGAGCCTGTTTCCTCACTTTCCAAACAGGAGCACAAATATTATCCCAGCCTGCCTGAGAGGGAGTACTGGGTGGAAGAGTGTCCTCCCCAAATTCACGGCCCCCTGGAACGTGTGGATGTGACCTTATTTGGAAATACGGTCTCTGCAGGTGTAACCAAAGCTAATGAGGTCAGGCTGGCATAGAGTGCGCCCTAATCCAATGGCTGCTGTCCTTACAAGATGAGGGACATTTGGACACAGACACACAGAGAAAAGGAGGTCAGGTAAGGGCGGAGGCAGGGACTGCAGTGATGCATCCACAAGCCAAGGACACCGAGGACCGCCGGCCACCACCACAAGCTGGAAGAGAGCCTGGAAGAGATTCTCCCTCTGTCACCTGAAGGAACCAACCCTGCCCACAGCTGGCCGTTGGACTTCTGGCCTCCAGAACTGGGAGGACCCATTTCTGTTGTTTTAAGCCCCCCAGTGTGTGCTCATTTGCTGTGGTAGCCCCAGGAAACGAACATAGAGAGCAGGAGAGAAGGCTACAGAATAAGAGAGCTGAAAGTGACTGGTCCCTGTTACAGCGGGGTCAGAGGGCCACGGAGAAGAGCAACCTTGGGCCGACTTACCCAATTATAAACTTCATCTTGCCTTCCTTGGCCGCCTCGACGAGGATGGGGACCAGCTGGGGGTCCCGTGGGCCGAAAATGCCATGGGGGCGGATGGCTATGGTTAAGAAATTCCTCTCGGGATCGTTGGCAGCCAGCACTTCCTGTAGGAAAGCAGAAGGAGCGTGTCCACGGTGGATGTGCCACACCAGGTAAGCAGCGCCTCCCACAGGGGACACAGATGGCGCCCACTGCTCTGGGCTGAAGACCTGTATCAGTGGCTGGTATAATTCTGGCTACTTCTCTGTCCCATCCACCCCCACTACCCAAACTGGAAAACGCAGGAGAGACAACTGGGTCAGAAGCAGTAAGCTCAAACTGAAAGCCTGGGTTTGGGTCCCAGACTAAAATGCACAAATGCAGCCAGGGGAAGATGAGCCTCAGCAGCAGTTTATGGAAAAGATCCGAGCATTCTGGTGAGCGACTTAGCTGTGCGCCCAGCCTCCCAAGAGGCTGCCACCACCAAAGGGGCTCTTGCCTTAAGCTCCATGTGCTAACTGCATGTTTCCACCAGGCTTGGACTGCTGCGGACAGTTCTGAGTACCATCTCCCCAGGAAAGGACTCTGATGAACCCAAGAGGGCCAGGAAGAAGGGACTGAGAAGGTCAAGGGGCTGGGAGACACAGGGCAGCCAGTACAGGTAAAGTCCTCAGAGCAGTGCCTGGTACCTAGTAAGTGCTCAAGAAGCGGCAGCCATTATTCCGTCATCCACCGTCAGGAAGAGAGATAAGCTGTGCTCTGTGTGGCTTAATGGACAAACCAAAACTTCAGGGCTTGCAGTACAGAGGAACAGGTTTTGCTTCAAAAGTAACAAAACTTCCTGAAGGATTTGTTAGGTTATTGGTAAAAATGGGGACCATGTCAGTGCCTAGCCTGATGGGGTTGTGTGCTGATTCAATGAGATGGATGGCGCACGCCAACTGCTGTGGTAAGTGTATGCTTGATGAGTAGAATTGTCACAGCACCTCACCTAGGATTTCTACTCTATGGTGGCAAAACTTTTGTGCCTGGTTGGGTCCCAGCGAGTTTAAGTTCCTTGTAGACTGAATGAATAACCATCGGAGCTACCCAACAGTGGAGAAGCGCTCTTGCAACAGATTCCCAGAGTGGGGGAAATGACTAAATAAGCCTTCAAATACCCTCTACCGAGGCTCATCTCTGTTACTAAGAAGGGGAGGGGTGAAGGGGGTCTTAGATCAACACCACATTCTGTTTCTTTATGTCAGGAGGTCTGAAAGCCCCCAGCGAGTTGTGTGCCAATAATGGCTGACAGGAGGCTCCAGCGGGGGTTACTGCAGGAGGCCTTTACAGGTTTTGCTTATTTTTAGTTGAGTGCCCAAAGTCCAAGCAAGCAGGACAGCGACGGTCTCAGCCATGGCTGGCAGTCCCAGGCGCCTTGGAGGAGCGTGCACAGGGCCCAGTGGAAGCTTCAGTGCTCTGTGGGTCAAGTCCAAGTAGGGGGAGCACTGTAAGGCTCTCTGTGCTCCAAGGAGCAAGGGTGGCAGAGACAGAACTCCAGCTTGCGAAAGAACAGGCCTCCACCTCCTGGATTGAGGAGGACTTCATGTCTCCCTGCAGACAAGTTCTTCTGGAACTTTCTGAGCTGGAGTAATAGCAAACAGGCAGCTGGCTCTCAGGCAGTGCCAGGAGGGGACTCATGCAGATTGGGTGCTAAGCTCTGGTTTGAGATGCACTGCCTTATTAAAGAGCGCTCAGTGGGTGTAATATGCTACAAACGCCTGGGAAAGGTGAGCTCACAGCTGTCCAGCGAAGGCAAGCTGCCTGTGGCCGATGAGCACTCACAGCCTTCAGTGGAGGCTGTCATCAGGGTAACGTCCTCCCTGGACATTAATCCTGGAGCTGGCTGCTGTCAGGGTCCCTGGAGCCCAGCAGCCCAAAGGCTTCGTGCCCATTGCTCAACCTAGGCTTCTGCTAAAACCAGGTGCTCCCACGCAAAGCCGGTTTACCAAGTGGAAAAGTATTCTTCCTTAAAATCAAGCAAGATCCTTCTATTGTATAATTTAAAAAGGGACGGGGACAAGAGTACCACTAGGAAGGTGTTTCAAATGAAAACACACTCCTTGTGTGTTAAGCCCGAGCTCTGCCTGCATGCTTTGGATCCTCATAAATTCCCTGATTTCTGAGTTCTATAGCAACTGAGTAACCTTGCCTGGTGCGAGTTCAAGGGCAGGCTCTGAAGCTAAACTGCCTTCATTGAGCCACCTATTAGCTGCATGGCCTCAGGTTGGTTCTGAATCTGGGCATCAAGTGTCCGCATCCGTAACCTGGTGACGACAATAATACCCATCTTATGGGGTCACTGTGAAGTTTAAATGAGGCAGTTTCTATAAAAGACTCAGAGCAGTGTTTGGCCACATCAAGCTATTCTGTTACGATATTTAAAACTGAATCTCAACCACAAGTTTTTCTTCCCAAGTTAGGTACTTGGGCCTCAGGATACTAACTTCATATGTTCACAAACATTTTTCTTAAGAATCTAAGCCTTTCAGATTTCATGGAACTCGCCCACCACTCACTGAACCAGTTCTCAGGTACATACTCTCTCCTGTAAGATCTTTGTTGCCGTGTAGTAGTCAATGGGTTTCATGGCATAAGGGAGGTCCTCAGTTCCATTCTTGATGTCAACGCCCTCAAAGACGACACTAGCGCTGCTGGTTAAAATGAGTTTCTGGAGCGGAGAAAGGAAGATTAAAGAAAAGCACAAGTCGGGAATGAGCACTATTTAAACACTCCAATAGTCATGTATCAAAGAATCAAATGGCACCTGTTCACGACACTCGCATGCAAGGCACTGTGCAAATTATTTACTGCAATGCCTTCACTTTTCAGGCCTTAAAATAGTCCAAAGATCACCATATTTTGCAACTATGTGGATTCAAGACACGTTACAGTTGAATAAATAAAACAGAAACAGACTCATAGATAGAGAACAAACTGATGGTTGCCAGATGCGAGGGAGGTGGGGGCTGGGTGAAAAAGGTGAAGGGATTAAGAAATACAAATTGGTACTTACAAAATAGTCACGGGGATGTAAAGCACAGCATAGGGAATATAGTCAGTAATGTTGCAACAACTACGTATAGTGCCGGGTGGGTACTAGACTAATCAGGGTGATTACTGCATAAATTATGTAAATCTCTAACCACTATGCTGTACACCTGGGACTAATATAAAATAATATTGAATGTCAACTGTAACTGAAAAACAATTTTTTAAAGACCCATTATGGTATTACATTCTAAAACACCGAGTTCACATTTTTTTTCCTCTCCTATCATAACTGAGGGATACAACAGACTTCCATGATTCATGGTATCTCACTATGGGATTGACTCTCCATGGGGGAAGAATAGGCCACCAACTTCGAGGGAGATGTCTGTCTGAAAAAGACCCCTGGTGATTCTGACACCAACCTTAGCATGTCAGCACACACATGCACACACACACACACACACACACACATGCCCGCTTGAGAAATACTATTCAAAAGGGAGATGCTCTGTTATGAGGGTCCCCAGCCCCCAGCCCTCTGGTTGAGGGCAGCTCATCCCACACTGAACATCATTAGCTTGAATCATATCTTCTTCACTTTTATTTAACACTGCCCTAGAATATTAGCCAGCATGGTAGGATAGGACAGACAATGACGTATGATGCACTGAAAAGAAGCAAAACTCTCACCATTCACAGATATTGGAAATGTGTACACAGAAAACACTATGCGTATACAGAAAATAATAGAGTTCAGCGAAGTTGCTGAGTCCAAAATCAATACACAAAAATTAACTGTGTTCCGATGCATCAGCACTTGAAAATGTGATATGAAAGATATTATTTCAATAACCAGAAATGAGGTACATAGGAATAAAGTTGACTAAAGAGGTGCAAAACCATTATGAAGCAAAGTAAAAAACTCTACTGAAAGGCATGAGAGAGATAAACAGAGATCTTTTGTGTTTATGGCTAGGAAGACTCGATATTGGAAAGATGTCCATTGTCTCACAAATGACCTTTAAGTCTGATGCAATTACAATAACAATTCCAACAGGTTTTATCAACGAACTCGACAAGCTGATACTAAAATGTATATGAAGCGAATTCTGAAGAACATGGTTGGGGGTGACTTGTCCTGCCGGACACTGAGCTTCATCCTACGGCTTGCTGAATTAAGGCAGAGCACAGGGGCCTGGGCACAGACAGAGGCCAACAGAGCGGAAGAGAGAGATGGGCACAGACCCATGCCGGGCACCAACATGTGAGGTGTGCCGGATGGGGCGATGGCAGTGGGAACAAGGATGGATCACACAAGAAATGGTGCTGAATAACACAACACGCAGTTTCTACCTCAAACCATAAACAAGTATCAATTCCTGATGGATGAAAATTTTATAAGTGGGAAGTAACACTTTAAACCTTTGAGAAAAAAATAACACATTAAGCAATCTTTCGATCTCAGTCTTGTGAAATGTTCCCTAAACACAACACAAAAAAGTCCTTTCCTGCACTGTTACCCACTATACAATTCTGGCACTTCAGTGAATATACTGGAGCTACATAATATATCAACATGGATAAATCTCAAGAACGTAATGTTGAGGGAAAAAAAGCAAGTTACAAGAAAATCTCCTCAATATGATATCTGTTAATAAAGTCTTATACCATGAAAACCAATACTGTACATTGACTGCACATGGAGCAAATAAATGGTAAACCCCAATTCACAACAGTGGTTCCCCACGTGTGGGCAAGGACAGGAATGGCATCAAGGGTGGGTACACACAGGCCTTCACATCTACCAGTAACAGTGTTTCGCAAACGCTGTGATGAGTGCATGGCTGCTATATGACTCTCAAATCTTTTTTGGATGCCTGGGATATTCTGTTTCAAGCCAGCAGCAGCAGCAGCACGCTTCACAGCACTCCGTTATACAAGCAGGGAGAGTAAGGACTCGGCTTTGGCATCGGAGAGTCTGATTCGAATCCCACCTTGTTCACTTACTAGCAAGGAGACAGCAGTTAGCCCTCCAAATCTGTTTCCTCGCCTGTTAAGTCACATTAGTAGCTCCTGGTTACCTAACGAGGAGCAAATCAGGTGACACTTGCAGGGCGAAGTTTCCTGGCACTTGCCAAGTGTAAGGGGTCACTGTCACTATAACTGATCCCTCCCAGGGCGCGAGCTCAGTAGAGCTCCTGGTCTTGCCGGGCCGGCTGGTGGTGTCGGGGGCCGACAGCACAGGACTATTGGGAGAGAACCCCCACTAACTCCAGTGTTTTCTATCATTTACACGGCTTCTGAGGCACACGTCACTGTGAGGGTGGGGCGCCTGGCCGACAGGGAGCTGTTTGTCCATTGGTTGGTGCCCCGTAAAGGTGATCCTGAGAACCAGGATTTACAATAATGCAACAACCTACGACATGGGGGATATATCCATATCCCCTTGGTTTTGTGTGAAAATATAAGCAAATAGTATGGTAGTTCCTTAAAGGCTAAACATAGAATTACTGTATGTTCCAGGAATTCCGCTTCTGGGGATTTACCCCAAAGCATTGAAAGCAGGGCCAGGAGCCGCTATTTGCACACCTGTGTTCACAACAGCATGACTCACAGTGGTCAAAAAGTGGAAACAATCCAAGTGTGCATTGAAGGATGAATGGAGAAACAAAATGTGGTCCATCCAACACAATGAAATATTACTCAGCCTTAAAGAGGAACGAAATTCTGACACACGCGTCAGCATGGATGGACCTTGAGGACATAATGCTAAGTGAAGTAAGTCAGTCACAAAAGGACAAACACTGTAGGATTCCGCTTATATGAGATCCCTAGAGGAGTCAGATTCATAGAGACAGAGTAAAAGAGTGGGTGCCAGGGTGGGGGGAGGGGGAATAGGGTGCTGTTGTTTAATGGGGACAGATTTCAATTTGGGAAGATGAAAAAGTTCAGGAGATGGATGGTGGGGATGGCTGTACAGCAGTATGAATGCAATTAATGCTGTCAAACTGTATACTGAAAAATGGTTCAGATAGTAACTTTTATTTTACACACTCATGCACGCACACACATATATATGTATATTATAATCACAATAAAAACTATAAGCCATGTCTACATTTTGTAGCTCTTTAACCAAAGACTAATAAGCCTTAAGGTCCTCAGATGGTCTATTCCGATGCAGTTAAAATATTACAGCTCAAGTTGGCCCAGTCGCTCCAGGACTTAATTTCTAGGATCTGCCCAACACTTCCGGAAGCAAGCCTGGCTAGGCCCAGGAGGAGAGCAAGAACCCTGGCCCCCACACATTTAGAAATGTGCGAAGCACTCACTCCAGCCTTCCCCTTACCTGAACCCCAGCCTCTTTGCAAGTTTTAATGACGTTCTTGGTGCCAATGTAATTCACTCTATAAAAGAGTTCCTTGTTGCTACTGGATGGTGGGGGTGATGCACAGTGGAAAACTGTGCTTACACCTTTCAGAGCTGGATACAGGTCCTGGAAAAGCAAACAAAGACAAAACAAATCACTCCTGCCTTACACAAGTAAACAGCCTCCTCACGTTCTCCCTCTTCAATCTGTGGCTCATAGATGTCCTTCCCTTTTATAGTTCTACAATTAACATGGAAACACATTCTTGTAAAACATTCAAACAGTACAGAAGTACATGGGAAAGAAACCAAGTTGTCCCTTTAATCGCCCCCTCCCCAATAAACACTGATTCGGGGCATGAGAAGCCTGTAGGATCGAGCCAGAGCGGACATCGGTGACACGGTGCCCCATGGGGTGGGGCACGATTCAGGGCACCTGAGGGGTAAAACTCCTCAGGAAGATGAGCTCATAGACACAAATAATGAATCATATGAAAAAGTCCCAAACCATGAAACACAGTGTAAATAGCCAATACACAGGAGTATTGCTTTCTGTGAAACTAGACATAAAACAGCAACCTGAAAGGGATTGAAAACAGGTGTATTTAATTTACTGCTAAGAGGAACCAGAGCTCCCCCAGAGCAATGGCTGATTGCAGATCTGGGGCAGGAAACAGATGAGATGAGCCAGGAACACCTTGTCATACCAGAAAGTAAGGACGCTGGCCAAGGCTCCTGGGGTCCTGCTAAAAGGACTTAAGAGCCAACTTACAGGGGCTCCCATGGGCCAAAGGGACAATTTGGTCACCAGTGAGAATAAGAATTCTTTCTGCAAGCTGGTAAATAAAGGGAAAGAGTCAAGCATTTAATCTGCATAAGGTACAAAGATTTCAGGTAAGAAACAAAGAGAGGATGATAGCATGTTACCATTTGGCAAAACCTTAAGTAAGAATGATCAATAGGTGCGAACATCAACAAAAGAACGACACCCATGAATAACATGCCTAATAATCATTGATTATTAATATTTTGTCACAATTCTCTCTATGTAGGTACACATAGACATATGATTTGTTTTTTCTGAAATCGTTAGAAAGTAAGTCACACACATCATGCCACTTTGCCTCTGAACCCTTCACCTGGCATCTCCTAAGAACAAAGCCATCCTCCTAAATAACCACAAAACAACAATCATATGCAGAAATGTGACAGATAGGACACTCTTATCCAATCATTCTATATCCACATTTCCCCAATGTCTTAATAACGTCCTTTAGAGCTGTTTTCATATTTGGATCCAGGATCCAATCATGGATCGTATCTCTTCCATCTCTTTGAATCTGGAATAATCTCCCCATCTTTTCTTTTTTGTCTTTTGTAACACTGCCACTTTTCAAGTCAGTTATTTTAGAATGTCCCTCAATTTGGATACGGCTGTTTCCGTTTGACTAGAGGCAGGCTTAATACTTTTGGCATGTTGACTTCGATCACTTGGTTAAAGTGATGGTTGCCAGATTCTGGACTTCAAAAAGGTACCTTTCCGGGCCGGCCGAGTGGCGCGTTGGTTAAGAGCTGGCTTGGGGCGCCAGAGGGCCCCGGTTCGGATCCCACATATGAGGGCCAGTGATACTGCCCTCTACAGCTAAGATGCTGAACAACAGCTCAACCTGGAGCTGGGCTGCCGTGAGTCACTGGCAATGATGGCGTGGGCTGCAGCCCCTGCTGCAGTGGGTTGCCATGAGCTACCGTGTGTAGCCAGCAGCCAGCGTGAGCGGCCAGCAGCCGCAGTGAGCGGCCGTCCAGAAGCCGGCGACTGATCTGCCTCGCCCGGGAAGAGCGCAATGATGGTGCCAACTTGGGCCAGTGAAGCAACGTCCTCCACAACTAGACTGAAGAACAAAAGGACAGCAACTTGTCTGTTCCCCTTCCCCCAATTCCCCAGCGCTGTACTCATCCCCCAATTCCCCAATTAAAAAAAAACAAAAAGCAGGTAACTTTCCCTCTCTGTAATTCAAAAGTAATCTGTGGGGTAACCATTTGAGGCTGAATATCTTCCTCCCCAGCAACCTTCCACCAGTTGATGTTAGCATATAGTGATGATCTCATTCTCTCTCCCCTCCCTTCCTCTCTCCTCTCCTCCCTCCCTCCCTCTCCCTCTCCCTCTCTCTCTCTCCACACACACGCTTCCCTGGAGAACCCTGACTGATACATACAAGAAGAAGAAAGGGGCAAGAGAGGTGAGGATTATGCAAGAGAAAAGGTCACCCATGTAATCAAAGGCAGTGAGGACACGAATGGGGTGAGGAACAGTGGAAAACAGCCGGATGTCTGGTGAGGTCAAATAATTGGTCCAGCGGAGGTCAGATAGGTGGAGTGCCTGTGAGTGAGATCATGGAGAGGATATTTACTGGTGATAACAAGGTCAGGGCCTCGGGAATGACAACAGGAATGGAGGCCAGGATCGGGGGGCTGAGAGGAGGCCAAGGAGACGTGAAGCGAGGGTATTGGCAGGGTCATCTGTGTGAATATTCAACACACCAACAGTTAGATGAGGCTGCCTTGGCCAGGAGCTGAAATCCATCCGGAGTGAGATGCAGTCACCTGGGAAAGGTAGTGGGTCGCTGTGGGTGACTGCCACAAGAAAGGGGCTGGGGTATGTACAGTCTGCTGGTGTCATCTTCAAAGTTGGAGGGAGCTTAGGGCAGAGCGAGGGAAGCGGCAATGACCAACAAGGAAGACCTCTACCCCATCTCAGGCCCAGAGGTGTACATGGTGGGACAGAAAACAGCCTGCACTGGAACAGGGCTGCAGGAAAAGCCATGCCCTTAAAATGCAAAGGAAAAATGAAAAAAACTGTGGCAAATGATGCCAAAGCCAAGAATAAGAGCCCAGTGACTGAGGGAAGCCATCCACGATACATACAACATGCAAAGGACAGGCATCCTAAAGAGAAAGGGATTACAGACCCATAAGGAAAACACGAAAAGCCCAGAGACAGATGGGCAAAGCTCACTGAAGGCATTTCACAGACGGCGATCAACACAGGGCATGGAGCCTGGCCACCCGAACAGGGAGGGACAGGTGACTCTAAGCATCGCCGGACGGCAACACCAAAAAGTCTAACTGTACCAAGTGTCAGCAAGGACATGGAGCCATGGGATCGGACTACACTGCCCGTGGGAACAGAAAATCAATAGCAGTTCTGTCGAGCCATTCGGCAACATGTACTAAAATTCAAAATATTGATACCCTTATGACATGGGTAAAGCTTGAAGACTTTATGTTCAGTGAAAGACGCTAGTCAGAAATGGGCAGACGCTGTATGATTCCACTTCTATGAAATGTCCAGACTAGGCACACCCACAGAGATAGGAGATGAGTGGGTACCAGGAGCTGGGAGGCTAGGAGAGGAAATGAGGAGCGGCTGCTAACGGGCCCAGGGTTTCCTTTGGAGTGACGGAAATGTTCTGGAATTAGACAGTGGTGATGGTTGCACAACTTTGTCAATGTACGAACAACCACTGAATTGTGCACTTTTAAAATGTGAAGTTTATGGAATGTGAATTATGTGTCAATAAAAAAATAAAAGAAACCCGGCAACTGCACTTTTGGTTATATATTCTGGAGTACCAGCCAGCACTCTACAGCCCCCAGACAACTTTGTTCGTAAATAAAGTTTTATCAGCACACAGCCACACCCATTCGACCAGGCTGCTTTTGCACTGCCACGGCAGAATGTAGCAGTAGTGACAGAAATGATAGTTATTCATTCATTCTAAGTCTTACGAATGTGTGTGTGTGTTACATTCTTTCCTCTATCTTTAAATTTTTTCAAAATAAAAAAACATTTTTTTGAAACAACAATTTGGCTGGCCTCTCAGTGGGGGAAGTCCACTGGTTTCCCTTTGGGGGCCTGTGGGAAATCAGTCAGGTGAGGTGGTCCGTTACCTGTCGGCTGCAGAGGTCGCCCAGAAAAAACTGCACCCGGGGATTGTCGAACCCCTGCCGCATATCAAATACGTTGACAGCGTAGCCTCTTGCCAGCAACTGCTCCACCATATGCTGCCCCAGGAACCCAGAGCCTCCGATCACTGTGCACTTCTTGGCCTGTGGAGAGAGAGGGGGATGGCAGGGGGCACTGGTGTGGTGAGAGTCGGAACCTATATGGAGCCTGGACTCACGTGTCATGAGCCACTGCGATGGCACGTTCATGTCTGTTTGTTTGTTTGTTTGACACTTCCTGAGTAAAGTTGGAAGCTTTATACAATTCTGGTGTTCTCTCACCGGTGGTAACCTCCTCTCCTAGGCTCAGTCAGGATGGAAGAGAGAGCAAATGAGATTGAGAAAGACTTTGGCTACACTGGATGACCCGATACCTGCTGCGTGTTCAGTGAAGGGAAAAGGAGGCATCTCTGAAAGAAGCTAAACCACCTATGATCAAAACTGGACAATCTAAAACAACAACAACAACATCAAAAGTGACATCTTCTGGGCTGGCCGAGTGGCTCAGTTGGTTAAGAGCTCACTCAAGAGTTTGAGCTCTGAGCAACAGGGTCCCCGGTTTGATTCACGGCCCGAGCTGAGCTGCCGCTGGGCTGCTAACAGGTGGCAGGATGGCTCAGCTAAAAAAAAAAATTTTTTTTTAAATCAGGAGAAAAGTGACATCTTCTTGCTTCTGATAGCTGATCCTGGGGCACTTATAAGGCAAAACAAACAAAACCCCAAAACCAAACATAGCCACGCAACTGACAGTGTGCACTTAAAATATCAGAAAGAAGAAAGCGCAGTGCAGTCTCCATACTTGCAGGAGAGTCAGGCCTTTTTCCTCCCGACCCCAGGGGGCTGGGCTAGGTGGCTTTGGGCTTGCCGCCTAACCCCTGCTGGCCTCAGTATAGCCAAGACTATTGTGGTCTGACGGAATCTGCCAGCCGGGCTGCAGTGAGGATAGGTGAGCTGTTAGTCAGCCAGGCCCAAGGCTTTGCTCTCTCTTCTCTGAGCTCTGAGGAGGCTGACGAATCTGGGAGAGCTCTGGCAACTGGGGATAATGGAAGGCCAGAGCGCCACGTGCAGGCCCTTAAATATTCTCACTCCAGGGAGTGAATGCTAAATTGTGGCGGCTGCATGCTGATTAAGCTGGCTACAAGTGTCCCCAAAGGAGGACCTGTGATATCCTCCTCCCTGGGGGTCTTTCTAAAGCCACACCTGGACTTCCTTAAGATGACAAATCCCCATTTTTCCTCAGCTCAAGTATAGTAAATCAAAAGTGGGGTGTGGATACTAAAGATCTTAAAGGAATTCTGTTCCCAATTAAAAACAAACAAACAAACAACTCCCTTACTTATTCCTTAAATAGCTACATAATTCAGATATGCAGGAGACTCAAGGGGTGCCAAAGCCTTCTACAGGTCCACCCCTGCCACCCTGCTGTCCCACCTGAATAATCTCAGGTTAACCTTCAACTACAGAGGCACGGAGGAGGCTCTGCTCTGAGCTTTACACCCAAACCAGGGTGGTGGCCCACGGGACTCTCCTGGCGAGGTCTCATCTATTAACATTTGATATACATCCATTTTACCTTGGTGTGATTACATTTCTGAAGTGTTCTCACTCATTAAAAGTGGGTCGAAAAATCTTTAGGAGGCCTGACGAGCCCTTCAAGTCCCTTTTGACACTTGAGATGCTAGACCTTAGGGAGGCCTTGTCACTGCCCTTGTCACCTCTGGGGAAGGCTGCCATTCCATCCAGAAGCCCAGTCTAGCCTGCTCGGGCCATGTGACGGCAAACTGAGGCACCCAGCTGACAGCCGGCAGTTACTGCCAGGTGTGCAAGGCCACCTGGAACATACACCTCAGGGGGGTCCCCATGACTGCAGCTGTGGGAGTGAGCCCAGGGGAGACCAGCCACGGACCTCCCAGCTGGGCCCAGCCCAAACCACAGAATCCTGAACAAAAAAATGGGTGGTGTTTTAAACCACTGGGTTCTAACATTGTTACACAGCAATAAGTAACTGACATCTTAAATAAAGACATATATTTTATATAAAAAAATACTCAGCATTAATTGATTTAATGAATGTACCGAATACAATTTTAACCCGCAGCTAACTATCAGTGGCTTGTTGGTATGTATGCGCTCGACTTTCCCCTTACCTGGTTTTGGCTAACCTTTTTCGTGTTGGTGCTTACTTTTGGAATGCCTTCTGTCAAATGTGTCATTATGATCTGCTCTCTCATTGGCTTGCCAGCTGCTGGTTCCATTTCGGTTCCAAATGCGGTCCTATTTGCAATCGAGCCTTCTCTTCCTAAAGACATATTTAGAGACAGACATTTATGTTGTATGAAGCAAATCATGTTTCAGCTGTTAGTGTTTGGTGTGGCTGCCATGTCCCTGTCGAGTTTTCACAGAGCTGAACCTTAGCTGTAGCCCTTGGATGGAGCCCTCAGCTACCATTTGTGTGACAGGCTGCTCTCTTAGAAAAGGCCCAAACTGGGCCCATAACTCACCGTGTACTTGGGTTGGAGGCAGAATGGGAGGCCAGTTAGATAACCTCATTCATCAGTTATAACAAAAACAACCTCTTTGGCATCGTAGCCTTTCCTATTGGTGCTCACGTGCCTCAGTTACTCTCTGTTTCTCTTGTGTTGATCAGTAGGCTGTGGCAGTGCAGTGAGAAAATGCACAGACCTAGCGGGCCCTGGGGTCCAGTCCTGGCCCGATCACAAACTGTGTAAATCTGCTCAAGTTACGTCTCTTTGCTGCAGCTCAGTTCCCCCATCAATACAATGGACCAGCTGCTCAACACCAGGATGCCAGGGCCTGGGATGCTGGGATGGGGAGACTGTAATAGGAGACAGAGCTCTCCTTCTTGGTGAAATTAAAGCCACCCTGACTATGCAAGCAAGAACTTGGAGTGTCTAGAGCCATTGGAAACCTTGGCAGACAGTCGTGAAGCACACCAGCTGACAAAGCCCCACAATGATACCAAACAGGAGGACAGTTTATCACGGATCCCCTAACATCTGGACACAGTGAAATCCTTGACAAGGGAAACAGTAGAACTGCTCACAAAAGGCTCGATTCTGAGAACACACTCCGGTGAGGAGGGGACAGGAAGGCAGCCAGCACAGGCGTCTCAAACACTGTGACTGATCCCATCCGATTCCACACCTCGAGTCACACACATGCACACACACAAGGTCATGGTCATGGTCATGTGTCCCTGTAGGAACTGGTTTTGTGGGTGGCTAAAATGACCTTGAAACAGATGTTAGGATCCTCAACCTCTGAGGGGGCCATTTTGGGGAAATATATTTCTGAAACCGTAACGATAGTTATCAGGAAAAAATATTTCAAAACTTCACTTTTTATAGGCCTTCACAGAATGTGTAAGTTGACTCGCCATTGTATGCCTATCCTATCCTTCTCTTTATCCCATAATCCTCTTTGTGTGGGCTGGGGTCCCTGGGTCCACCCTCAACAGATGTGGCTGGGAGCTTTGACTCGTTCGGCTCACCGTGTATTAGCTGGAGAACGAGCGTTCGGGCCCTTGCACTGCGGCCTAGCAGCGTGCGTTAGGACTTCTGTCTTGCTCACCATGGTATCTCAGCGTGAAGCACAGTGCCTGGCACAAAGTGGGCACGCACATGTCCACTAGACTCATGAGCACAGGAAAAGTATACATGCCCATACAGACCCCCTTCTATTGTCTACCACATACACACAGATGCTCATCTAAGATGCAAGCGTTCCCCTGGGGCAAACGGGTTTGGTATTTTGCTGTGGGTGCTGTACTCACAAATACCCACCGCTGACTTCTTACTCAATTTCCCCAGATACTCAGGGAGGCATTAGGAAATGACAAGGCAAATGGCATCTGAATTGATGCAGTCAAAGCCAAGGGATGCCTGGGGCCACCAGAAGCTGGAAGAGACAGGAAGGACCCTGCCCTAGAGCCTCCAGCACTGTGAGAGAAAAAAAATGTCTGTTGCTTTAAGCCCCCTCCCCATGTGTAGTCATTTGTTGCAGCAGCCCCAGGAGATCAATACAAGTATTCTTCATGGTCCTGAAATCCAAACAGCACAGCTGCCAATTCCATGCCCCACCCATACTACTAGAAAAGTAAGAAGCCTTCAAGCCTGTGCTCCCTGCATCTCCAGGGGAGGATCTGGGAGGTGAAAGAAGAAATCCTCCTGCCCCCATGGATCCATACCATTCAAACGAGGCTCATGCAATTCTCAGCAAACCAGCCTCTTTGAAAACCCAAACAAAGCAAATCTGTGTTGTGTCAGATTATATACAAATTAAAGTTTGTAAATACCGTGAGCCAGGTAAGAATTCTTGGTGATACTTTAGTTGTTTCTAGGGGCTGGGGTACCCAGGACTAGCCTAGGGAATGAGTCAGATCCCACTTGCAAACCCCAAACCTAAATTCCCACGTGACATACACTCAGGTTAAACACCAAGAATAGCTCTGATTGAATAGATGGACTTTTCTCCAGACAAGATGGACTTTACAGATGGCCAACGAGCCCATGAAAAGGTGCTCACCATCACTAATCATTAGAGAAATGAACATCAAAACCACAGTGAGATATCACCTCACACCCACTGGGATGGCTATTATCAGAAACCAGAAAATAACAAGTGTTGACGAGCATATGGAGAAATTGGAACCCTTGTGTACTACTGGTGGGAATGTAAACTGGTGCAGCCTCTATGGGAACCAGTATGAAGATTCCTCAAAAAATTAAAAATAGAGCTACCTTATGACCCAGCAATTCCACTTCCGGGTATATACCTAACAGAATTGAAACCAGGATCGTGAAGAGATAGGAGGACTCCTAAGCTCACTGCAGATTATTCACAATGGCTAAGATGGAAACAACCTAAATATCATTGACAGGTGAATGGATGAAGAAAATGTAGTATATACATACAATGGCATTCTATTCAGCCTTAAAAAAGATGAAAATTCTACAATACGTGACAACATGGGTGAACTTTGAGAACATTGTGCTAAGTGAAAAAAGCCAGTCACAGGAAGTCACTGTATGATTTTACTTATATGAAGTGTGTGTGTGTGTGTATATATATATATATACACACACACACACACACATATATATATATGACTTATATTGGGTTGTTGGAAAAGTCATAACCTATTTTTTTTGTTTTTTGTTGCAAAAATGCGTCATGACTTTTCTGACAACCCAATATATTAAAAGTCAAGGTGGAATGCTGGTTCCTGCGGGAGACCGGCTCCCACAAGTCCAGGGGTTCCCTTAGGTGGAGAGGGAGTCGCTAGGAAAGAACGCGGAGAATTAATGTCTTACTTTATTTTTACAGCCTGTCCTTTTCTTTTTTTTTTTCTAGCTGAGCCATCCTGCCACCTGTTGGCAGCTCAGCGACTGCTCAGCTCGGGCTGACTCGAACCGCTGTTGCTCAGAGCTCAAACTCTTGAGCGAGCTCTTAACCAACTGAGCCACTCAGCCGGCCCCAGCCTGTCCTTTTTATACTGGGCAGGTAACTATTTACGTCATTGAGCTGTTTTTCCACGTTTAAACCTTTACCCATTAGGAAATTGTTTTCTACATAGTTTCAATGTTCCTTCCTTTCCAGGGTCCATTTTCTTTAGAAGTTTGCTTTTCACCGAATTTTACTTCCTCACGATGTTTCTTTTGCAGGGTACGGCCGGATCTGTTCTTCACTAATGACTAATTTATCCTAACTATGTTTCAGTTTCTTCCACTAATGGCCAGAGCTGAGTTCCTGCCTTGGCACTTAAAGGATGTTTACTACTTAGCAACTATTTCAAACACTACTGGCTAAATAGGATCTTTTAAGAATTATAAGGTGCATAACTTGTCTATCACTAAGAATCTAAGAAACTAACAGTAAAACAGAATTGTCGTAATATGTCCAAAACTCACTTATTTAAAGAAAATAAAACAATGTAAGAAGGGGTGTCAGATCTTTTATCCTACTGGGGGCATCCAAAGGGGAATTTAAATTTTTCAAAACATAAAGCAGCATCTGTTTCTCAGCCAGAGAGCTTCAGGATTTGTCCCAATAGCAGTGTGATAGGCATGTCAGATACTGAGGTGCAGCCGGCTCCCAACAGGTTCCCAGGGCTTGGGGGAAGGGGAAATGGGGAGTTACTAATCAATGGACAGAAAGTTTCAGTTATGCAAGATGAATAAGCTCTAGAGGTCTGCTGTCCAACATGGTACCTACAGTCAGCAATACTGTATTGTACACTGATAGATTTGTTAAGAGGGTATGTCTCATGTTCATTGTTCTTACCACAAGAAAATACAATACAATGCAATACAATACAAAGTTCAAAAAAGGAGAAATTCTGACACATACTACAACATGGATGAACCTTAAGGACATTATGTTATGTGACATGAGAACCTTGGGAACGTTATACTGAGTGAACAAGCTAGACACAAAAGGACAAATACTGTGGGATGAGTAGTCAAATTCACAGACACAGAAAGCGGCATGGTGGGTGACAAGGGCTGGGGAGGGGAATTGGGGAGTGACTGCTTAGTAGCTATAGAGTTTCAGTTCTACAAGATGAAAAGAGTTCTGGGGATGGATGGTGGTGATGGTCGCACAACTGTGTGAATCTACTTAATGCCACTGAACTGTACACTTGAAAATGGCTAAAATGGTAAATGTTCAGTCCTGTCGATTTTACCAGGCATACATGCAGAAGAACAGCTCTGAATGGGAAATGAGACCCCAAAGAGCAATGTTCTAGGGACTGGGCTTGTTAAGGTTCACACATTACAAGCCTGAGGTCTTTCTCCTTTAAGATGGCAGGTCTTTGAATCCATTAAAAACCAGTATGCATGCCCTCTTACACACATTGGGACGAAGTTTCCGGCTGAAAAGAATCTAGGACAAGAGAGCCACCTTCCACTGGTGACATCCGAATGCTGAAAGAGGAGGGCCGCTGACAGAATTCAATGAAGAGAGGAGTGGGTGAACCCAATCTCCTTCCTGCTGGGGAAAGTTCCACACCACTGAGCCCCAGAGACAAAAGGAAGGAGTCGTCTGTCCACTGCAAACCACAGAGAGAAAGATGAGTGTTCCCCCCCTTGTCCTTTCACAGACCCGAGGTATCTATAGGTTTCTGTCGGTCATTTGTTGCTCTGCTTCTCTATTCACTTGTATGACACAGAAAGGCTCTGACTTTGAATTTGCGGTGGCCACTGAGAAACCCATCAGCATGACTGTCAGCTTTAGTGTATGCTGTTCCCTCTCCTCTCCACGGTAACACCCTCCTCATCCTTCATGGCCTAGCTCAACTGTCACCTCTGTGAAACCTCCCCCCTGTCAGGAAAGCTTAGCTGCTTCCTTAGCACCTGTGTCTGTTCCCATTCTAGCACCTCGCACAGGTTTATACCTTCTTTCCCCCCACATCTGCCTTGGCCCACTAGGCTGTGAGCCCCTGGAGTTCCAGCGAAGGACCGGGAATGGAGTCTGGGTTGAACTGTGCTGCTGCCGCTGGTCTAAGAGGCTTCATCTGTAGGGCAGCAATCTTTCCTGCCATCTCAGAGCTGCTGTGGGGCTCAAACAAGCCCCAGGGGTTAAAGCCAACATGCAGCTTGTGAAAAAGCACCTGGGTGGCCCCTCACAGATTCCTACATTCTGTCATTCACAAGGCGCCACATGCCGGCCACCACCAAGCAGAACCTGCCTAACACAGGGAGCCCACCACCTAGCGTGGGAGACACACCTTGCAGAGCACTGCAGAAGTGCCCTTGAGCGCTGCTGAGGGTAAACCCAGATCAGGGAGCCTGTCCCAGAAGGCAGTCCCTGAGCCGAGCTCTCAACACCAGAGTAGTGAGTGGGTCAAGTGGAGAAGGTAGGTGTCTTGAAAAACATTCCACCGCCCGGGGTGGGAAGGATGAGGTGAAAGCACAGAGCCAGCATGTTCTGACAACTACGACAAGCTGTATCACGGCGACTGTGAAGCGAGATTGGGAGCAAAGTTGGGGAACACGCAGGGCTGTTTGTCAGGCCAAGGAGTTACCTGAGGAGGAGGTGGGGAGCCGGGAAGTTGTAAGCAGGGTGAGTGTGAAGATCAGAAAGATCCCTCTGGCTGCAGTGTGAAGGGATTTTAGCCATGTCTAAGCCTCCAGGCATGCCAGGTAGGTGGAATGACAAGAGCAAATCAGAGAAGAGAACTAATATGCCTGAAAACCTGCTAACTGGCAGGCCCTTGTACATATGACTATATTATACCATTAAGACCCAGAAAGTATCCAGTTAGGGAAACAGTACTGGTCTCATTCAATAGAGGAGAGTCTCAGAGAGATTCACCATCTTGCCCCAAGTCACACAGCTGGTACAGGTGGTTCCTTCTACTCTGCCAGGCTGCCACCTGCAGTCTGACTGGGAAGTAGGGTGAGGAGGGACACGAAGTTAGAAGGACTAGCAGGGGCAAAACTGGGCAGAAGGCTCGGATGCCAGGCTGAGTCTGGACCTTACTCTGTCGTCATGGGAAGCCACCGAATGTTTAAAAGCATGGGGTGACCTCGCCAGAGCTGTTCACTGGGAAGATTAACATGGCAAGGCAGGGAGGGCTAGATAGGTCAGAAGCAGGAAATGGGGGAGCTACTCACCAGTCTTTTAATCACAATTTACTAAGCACCTAATATGTGCCTGTCACTGTTGCTGGTACTGGCGTGCTAGCCGTGAACAAAACAGATGTCTGCCCTTATACAGCTTACCTTCTACTGGATGGGAAATAGAGAACAAAGGAAATAAGAAAAATACACTATAGGTTAGAAGGTGATAAGTACTATGGGGAAAAAAGTGGAGCAAGGTGGGTGGGGGGCTTGGGTGTGGCCGGGGGCTGCAGTGCTAAATAGGGTGCTTAGCATGGCTCCCTGAGCAAAAACCTGGAGCAGGGTAAGAGGTGGACCAAGCAGGCAGAAAAGGCACAGCTGGAGCATAAGTTCTAAGGTAGGAGTGTGCCTGTGCATTTGAGGCCCAGCAAGGAAGCCAGTGTCCCAGGGCTGGAGGGGCCAGGGGAGAGGAGGGGGCATGTCATACCAGGCCTTGCAGACCAAGGTGAGAACTAGAGCTTGGACTGGATGGGAGTGGAGCAGCAGAGATGGAAAAGAAGAAAATAAATGGCAGTTAACGGCGAGAGCTGACAGAACGTGCAGGCTGGTTAATGGGGAGGGGACAGAAAAAAAGAAAGGATGGAATATAACTAAAAGGTTTGGGACCTGGTTGATGCTCAAAGCAGAAGAGGGCAAAGAGGAGAAGTTCGGTGAGCATTTTCCTTTAAGGAATGCTAATAAACCTCAGGCCTTTCTCAGAACGAGAAACTCATGCTCTGTCCCCTGCCTCCCTAAATACAACTGCCCCAGTGCTCAGAGGGGAAGCAGGTAAGTGCTGAGCGCCACAGAGAGCTCTTACACGGGGCTGACTGGGGGAGGAGGGCGGACCCTGGGCCTTCAGCTCCATCGCTGCAGCTCCATTTCAGCCCAAACCCTTGCACACGCCCCCTTGTAATTCTGCAAGCATGCCTCACACTTCCAAAACTCCTCTGCGACTTTGCTCATGAGAGTGTCTCAGCCAGGAGTGCCCCTCCCTACCTGCCTTTGACTGTTCTGATGTCAAACAGAGTATTTTGATGACCTCTCCCCCTCACGTTCGCTCATATCTCCTTCACTCCCTTCAAAGTCCATTCTCAGGTCCCCAGCTCATCTTCCTGGGCTGCTTTTAGCCGGGGGGAAAACTCAAATGATTCTCTCTTGGAACCTGGTCTGGGGGGCGGGTGCTCTCAAAGGGGCACCCTCAAAGAGCCATCACTGGATCCGGCTTCTAAGTTCCAGTTGTCCGAACCTGTGCCACAATGCTTGGCATGTCCCTTCCCTTTTCTGGGTCTCAGTCGCTCTGTGAGTAGCCGGCACTCACCACCACGGACAGAATCCGCTGCCCATTGTTGCGCAACCGACTCACACACACGACTCTGCGCAGTTCCCCGCTCCCCATTGGTGACCTGTAAAGTTCTGGTCTTCTCTGACTCCTCTGAGTCCCTGCGACTCTCACTCAGTCTTAGGCCAGAGCAGAAAGCCCCGACCCGATCGCCCCACCCCCCCAGCCCCTTGGCCTCCGGCCATGTTGCCTACACATGGCAGCCTCCAAGGACGAGGTGGAGACCCTTACCTGTCCGTAGATGTCCGCCTGGCCGGCCTCAGCGCGCCCGCAGTGAGCATCCACCGATCTCCTGCTGCCCGCCGCCACCCTTTTCTCCCCGCCCGCCTGAGCCGATGATCGGCCGAGGCTCTTCCACTACCCCGACTGGCTCGGCTTGGCGCCGGCTCAGCCAATCGGCGCTCGCGGCGTGATCCAGCCCCAACCGGACAGGGCTCAGCAGCCTGCGCGCCACTGCCCGCCCTGATCCGGGCCTTTGTCGTTTAGTCCCACCCCCTTCAACCCTGCGCAAATGGCCAGCGGCGGCGGCGAGCGGTTCACCAATAGGGAGCGGGTCGGTGCGTGCGGGTCGGTGGGAATTGCGCCGAGGCTGTGTGTACGTCTGTTGCCGTAACAACGGGCTGAGGAGTCTGTCGGCGATGGTGAGTCGCGACCCTTGCCCAGAGGCTGAGCCCTTCCCAGGCCTCGGCCGACCCCGCCACCTCCCCTGCACCGTTCTCGGCTTTGGCGCGCCCCTACTTCTATGATCTGTTTCCCGGAAGGGCAGGGAAGAGACGCCAGCCACCCTGCTGGGCCTGTGATTCGCCACTGCCTCCCCTACACCCACAGCCGGTCCCCACCCGCTCCTCGGTCTCCCCCGGCCTTCCCCCGCCCCCTCGGTTACCGGTTCCTGGGCGAAGACTCGAGTTCCCCGCAGGGCCTGACCCCTCTCAGAACCTGGTCTCCTGGCCGCCTTGTCTACCAAAGTTTCCTCACAGTTCTGGCGGGGTGGGGCGGG